TATGTATGTATATAAATATTTATATGTATAAACATTTATATATGTATATATATTAATGTTATGTAATATCAGAAGTTTAACTTGGAGCAGTTGGATGATTGTCAATTGGAACTCCAGGGTTAAGGAGGATTGAGCTGGAGCAGTGGAAGGATGGGTGACCTACTGGGAAGTGAGTTGCGGGATCGGGATCGGGATATATGTCGGGGCTGGGGGATCGGGGTCGGGGCTGGAGGATCGGGATCGGAGCCGGGGGTCGGGATCGGGATCGGGATCGGGATCGGGATCGGGATCGGTATCGGGATAGATGTCGGGGCCGGGGTCGGGATCGAGAATATATTTTGAATTTTTTGTTGGAACGTTCCAACGGATTGCGGTTGGAAATTCCGTTGGAAAATTCCAACGGATATCGGTTGGAAATTCGGTTGGAAAATTCCAACCGATAAATCCGTTGGAAATCCGTTGGAAAATTCCAACGGATTGCGGTTGGAAATCCGTTGGAAAATTCCAACGGAAAAATTCGTTGAAATTCCGTTGAAAATTCCAACGGTTTTCCAACGGACACCGTTTTCTAACGACGAAATTCCAACGGATTTATCCGTTGGAAATCCGTTGGAAACGTTAATTTCCAACGGAAATTTGGTCATTTCCAACGGATTTGCCCGTTGGAAATGACCATTTTTTTTGTAGTGGGTGATTCAAAAGAGTATGGCTTTCCCGCATATAAGATTGGGCATCATTTGCAACGGAGGGCCAGATGCAGTTGAAGGATAGGTGATCAACTGTTTCCGGCTCAGCTTTGCAAAGACGACAGGCAGGTGCAATGCGAAGCCTCCAAGAGCCTGGACGATCTGCAGTCGGTAGCCTATTCTTCGACGCCGGCCATATAATATATAATATGCAAACGAGTATTTGAGTACCGAGTTCGCGAACCAAATCGTTCGGTGCCACGAGGTTGTTGGTGGAAGTACGTCCAAGCCCTCTTTGTGGAGAATTGCGGAAGTTGTGCGTGGGACCAGCAGAATGAGTCATCCGGTTCTATTGGGGACAGGGATGGGTGTGTAAGGACAGCGCAGCCAATGAACTGAATGCCGTGATATCGTCCGATCTCCATGCACTGTCGTCGCATACTGTCGATGCTTTCGTTTTAGTTCCCCATCGACGATTATCTCATTGAGTCTAATGCCAATGATTTCATCATGTGCATTACGTAAAGTTGGAATACGTTTTAATATATTACGTAAAGTTGCAACTGTACGGATATCTTATTACAACAATCTTGATTGCTGCAAGTATGTTTTTTTAAAAAATTACAGCACATGAAACAGTAAATAAAAATGTAAGATATTATAAAACTGATATTTTTACGGTGGACAAAATAAAAGTTCATAGCTTCCTGTAATTAAGAAAGTAATGTAATAATGTCCAACAGTAGAGCTTTATTTTATTATTTTACATATTATATAGTATGGCTTTATTCTATTCTCTCGTCCTCCGTATCTTTCTCTTTTTTCTCTTCATTTAAATATTTTTTTGTTCCCTTTTTGTTTGCTTCCCGGTGCTCATGTTCCCCGGTTTGGTGGAGGACCGTGGATAAAAAAAAAAGAATAAATTCTATTTGAATGCCTTTTTCTTGAAAAATAAAAGAATAGCTCTATGATGTGACATAAATATTTTAAATATTTGAAAGAAAATGTTTGAATACAATGGACAAGTTTAGGTTTTTCGGTTTTCAAAAAATTATATTTATTTCATTATTATTTAGCTTTATCTGAGACTGGTAAGGATTTAATTTTTGTTAAACATATTCTATTCAATTTTTTCTATTAAATTTAGTTCTATACTTAGATTAAAAATTGATATTATTAATTCGGATGTCATTATTTGATATTCAAAATATTTACATATCGAAATAATAAAAATAAATTTTATTTTCCAAATATTTTGAGAATCACACAATGTAAAGAGATTTATTTAATTTTTATTGAAATGATTGTTCACTCGGTCTAATGATAGCGATTATAAGATGAGTAACCCACCGGATCCAAGTTCGTCTTTGAATCCTCAGATGCAATTAGTTGGAGGATTCGGACAATGCTTTTTTAATTACTACTGGTGTGTGTGTGTATATATATATATATATATATATATACGAGTAGTAAAACTTATTCCATTTGCATTTGCATATCATATATATATATATATATATATATATATACACACATATATTATTGCAATAAAAGCATTATTTTGGTGTTTGATTTTCGTTTCTTTTTCCCATCACATTTGTCCCACCAAGAATGCAAAAGAAGATAACCATTCAAAAGGGTTGCTTTCAAATCTTTCCCGAAACTGAAAGTTCTTCTCCATCTCTCTCTCTCTCTCTCTCTCTCTCTCTCTCTCCCTCTCTCTCTTCAGGAAATGGTTTTGAGACATTGGAGATTATTATCATCACCTCTCGTGATCATCTGCTTCGTTGTTCTGATCTCAACGCTAATCTTAAATCACTGCGAAGCTTCGAGGGCGGCGACATTCTTCTTCACAAACCCTAATCATCAAAACCCTCGAGGACACTTCATGGGATTGTTGCCCAAACATTTCCCCGTTCCGGCCTCTGCTCCTTCGAGAAAACACAACGAGATCGGCCTTCAATACTTCCTCTCTCCATGAAGGTGACCAATTGCATTATTCAATCAATATTTTTACTATTTACATAATCAATCACGCCTCCTCACGCGGGATTAGGTTTTCTTTTTTTTTGTTTATAGTGTAGGGGAAAGAGATTATGTCACTAGGGTTTGAACAGAAGCTTGCCTGCTTCGATTTCTTGTCGGCTTTCTTCCGATTATGTAACTTTGTAAGAGTTTTACACTCTCTTTGTACATGTAAAAGGATCAAGATACGCGCAAAAATCTCGTTCTTTTGGAGATTATAATTTATTTCTTTGTTATTTTCGCTTATCATTTCTTTACAAACTACTGTTTACTTCAACAGCTTATTACATGCAAGCCCAATTCGACCGACACATTGTATGTATTTTTTTTTAACCGTGGGAAACCCATCGCAACAGTCTTTCGAACGGCATATCGGCTGACCCCGCGGGTTGGATAGCATCTCGGATAGTAAACCTTCGGACCCTGCGCAATAGTTGACAAACTACACGGAGTATGTAAATCAGCGAAACTGACCGGTTTAGAGGAAGTTCAGACCTCAGGACGAATTGAATCCAAAACCTCGTGTAGAGGATGCTTGTGACTTTTCAACTGAGTTGTTATTTATCCCTAAGAAATAATTAAATAAAGTGATAAAACAAAGAGGGTAAAATGGTGTATTTTCATCATCAAAGAGCATGAACTTCATATTATGACGACGACAACAACAATATCAATAATAATAATAATAATAAATAAATATATAAATAAATAAAATAAGGTTATCCGAAATATCACGAAGGGGTTAAACATGTGAAAGTATTATATTTATCAAAAAAATGTGGAAGTATTATAATTGCATTAGGTCACACTATCTAGCCAGTAGTCACCGTCCATTTGATTTGACCTTATTCAACGTTTCCTTTTCCCCTCGCTCCAATATATATATTTTTTGTTTTCTTTTATAAATATACAAGTAGACATCTAGTGGGATCCATATTATCTAGTGGAATCCATATTATGTTCTTCTTAGCAGTTGACCCTTCTTCACTATGAAGAAGCTGACCCTTCTTCACTATGAAGAAGCTGACATTTCTTCATTATGAAGAAGTTCCTTACATTTTCTCTATAAATAGGTCAGTGATGTAGTTCATTTGTATACATACGAAATACGAAGAACTTTCTCTCTCTTCTCTCTATCATACTCTTTCTCTCTCTAGAGCATATCTCCCTCTTGTTTTTCGTCTTTCGTTTTCAACACGTTATCAGCACGAGATTCTGCCGACATAGAGGTAAAAAAGAAAATATCATACAAAAGGTAATGTATGATTCTTCATCCCTATTCATCTTCAATTTCATTATATATAGACCTTGGGAGGCTCAGCCACCGGTCACTAATATATAACTAATTACATATATTTATATTACATTCATATAGACTTCGCGAGCTCAGCTACCAGTCAATGATATGAATGTTTATAAATATTACTATTATTATCATAATGGTTGGCTATGCCACCTGTAAATATCATTATGCATATCTATAAGTATTACTATTATTATCATAATGGTTGGCTATGCCACCTGTAAATATCATTATGCATATCTATAAATATTGTTATTATTATCGTAATGGTTGGCTATACCACCTAAATATGAATATTATTTCTGTCATTATTTATGTTATTATTTCTATGATGGATGGCTATGCCACCTTAACTATTTACTTTATGCAATATGGACGGTATTACCGCCTGATAATATATTAATGATTATATCTACTGTTGTTACATATGATACATATGTCGAATTTGGTCAATCTTGAAATCGATGATATGGGCATTTGATGCCAAAATGCATCTGAAAGCCGAAAAGATTGACAAAACAATCGAAAAAGGGCAAGCGACATCTGAAACTGATAAGGAAAAAACGATAATATTTATGCGACGCCATCTTGATAATGCGCTAAAAGATGAATATCGCATGAAAGAGAATCCCGCAGATTTATGGGAATCACTCAAAGATCATTTCGATCATGAGAAATATGTGTTCCATCCGAGAGCCAAACATGATTGGCTGGATCTGAGATTCTAAGACTTTAAGTTTGTGCGAGAATATGATTTCGCAATGTTTGAGATAATATCTGTTATCGATGTGGTATGAACGATCATTGGTCACAGACCTGTCGTATATCGAAACATCTTGTTGAATGATATCAACAATCATGTAAAGATAAAAGGGAGAAATACCCAGACAAATTTTTGTATCTGGTATCCCTGATGATTTCATCAATAAAGAAAGAGATGGAACATATTTGGATATCACGGATTTCCTTGATCAGTTTCAACACGTTATCAGCACGAGACTCTGCCGACATAGAGGTAAAAAAGAAAATATCATACAAAAGGTAATGTATGATTCTCCATCTCTATTCATCTTCAATTTCATTATATATAGACCTTGGGAGGCTCAGCCACCGGTCACTAATATATAACTAATCACATATATTTATATTACATTCATATAGACTTCGCGGGCTTAGCCATCAGTCAATGATATGAATGTTTATAAATATTGGTATTATTATCATAATGGTTGGCTATGCCACCTGTAAATATCATTATGCATATCTATAAGTATTACTATTATTATCATAATGGTTGGCTACGTCACCTGTAAATATTCTTATGAATATTTATAAATATTGCTATTATTATCGTAATGGTTGGCTATGCCACCTAAATATGAATATTATTTATGTCATTATTTATGTTATTATTTATGTGATGGATGGCTATACCACCTTAACTATTTACTTTATGCAATATGGACGGTATTACCGCCTGATAATATATTCATGATTATATCTACTGTTGTTACATATGATACATATGTCGAATTTGGTCAATCTCGAAATCGCTGCCCTCGATGCTTATGGCAAAAAAAATATATATGATATGGGCATTTGATGCCAAAATGCATCTGAAAGCCGAAAAGATTGTCAAAACAATCGAAAAAGGGCAAGCGACATCTGAAACTGATAAGGAAAAAGCGATAATATTTCAGCGACGCCATCTTGATGATGCGCTAAAAGATGAATATCGCACGAAAGAGAACCCCGCAGATTTATGGGAATCACTCAAAGATCATTTCGATCATGAGAAATATGTGATCCATCTGAGAGCCAAACATGATTGGCTGGATCTGAGTTCTAAGACTTTAAGTCTATGCGAGAATATGATTCCGCAATGTTTGAGATAATATCTGTTATCGATGTGGTATGAACGATCATTGGTCATAGACATGTCGTATACCGAAACATCTTGTAGAATCATATCAACAATCACGTAAAGATAAAAGGGAGAAATACCCAGATAAATTTTTGTATCTGGTGTCCCTGATGATTTCATCAATAAAGAAAGAGATGGAACATATTTGTATATCGCGGATTTCCTTGATCAGCTTGAAGATGGAAAAATGACCAACTAGAGAAAATCGACATGAAGTTTATTATGAATGTTGCGTTGTGTATTTTATTTCCAAGTGTGTTTTATACTCTAACGTTCAGTTTCTGTGTTATGTACTATTTCATCTTTATCTTTGTTTTCAGGAATATTTCGTATCTTTCACATTGATCAATTCGACTTGAGATATGTCGAAATTCATGATCAATGATGGGGATATATGTCTAACCGATAGTGCTATGACTCATACGATACTTAAAGATGAGAAATACTTCTCTGAGTTGAATATTATTGAATCCAGTGTTAACACAATATCTGGAAATGCGAAAATGATCATGGGCTCAGGAAGAGCAAGTTTTATGATGCCTAAAGGCACAAAGATTATGATCAATAACGCATTATTTGCTCCAAAGTCTCAAAGAAACTTATTGAGTTTCAAAGATATTCGCCAAAATAATTTTCATATCGAGACTATAAGTGACGAAAATCGTGAATACATTTGTATCACGTCAATGATTGCTGGAAAGAAGCATATGATGGAAAAGTTACCATCATTATCCTCTGGATTATACTTCACAAAGATATATATGATTGAATCATATTCCACAATGAATCCACGGTTTGGAGATGTGTTCAAGATTTGGCATGATCGATTGGGTCACCCTGGTTCAATAATGATGCGAAGAATTGTGGAAAGTTCTAATGGTCATCCATTGAAAAATAAAAAGATTTTTCAATCCCATGAACTCACATGTACCGCATGTTCTCAAGGAAAATTGATAATACGACCGTCATCGGTCAAAATCGGAAATGAATTGCCATCATTTTTAGAACGAATACATGGGGATATTTGTGGACCAATACATCCATCGAATGGACCATTTCGATACTTTATGGTATTAATAGATGCATCAAGCAGATGGTCACATGTTTGTCTATTATCAACCCGAAATGTTGCATTCGCGAGGTTTCTTGCTTAAATTACCAAACTACGAGCTCAATTCCCTGATTATCCTATTAAGAAAGTAAGGCTTGATAACGCCGGTGAATTCACTTCTCAAGCTTTCAATGACTATTGTATGTCACTCGGAATTGAGATTGAGCATCCTGTTCCCCATGTCCATACACAAAATGGTATGGCCGAGTCATTAATTAAGCGACTCCAACTTATTGCTCGACCATTGATGATGAAAACAAAACTTCCGATTTCTGTTTGGGGGCATACTATTTTACATGCTGGAGCACTGATTCAAATTCGACCGAGTGCATATCATAAATATTCTCCAGTGCAATTGGCAACTGGAAATGAACCAAATATATCTCATCTTAGAATATTTGGTTGTGCGGTATATGTACCAATAGCTCCACCACAACGTACAAAAATGGGCCCACAACGACGATTGGGTATTTACGTTGGATATAATTCACCCTCAATCATTCGATATCTTGAACCACAAATGAGTGATATGTTTACAGCTCATTTTGCTGATTGTCATTTTCGTGAGGATGAATTCCCGACGTTAGGGGGTGGAATGATACAAGCCTCACAAGATTTGACGTGGAAAACAGAATCATTATTATATCTTGATCCTCCTACAAAACAATGTGGTCTTGAAGTACAAAAGATCATACATTTGCAAAACGTAGCAAATCGATTGCCAGATGGATTCACAGATACAATACGGGTGACAAAATTATATATACCAGCCGCGAATGTACCCGCTCGGATAGAAATACCAAAGGATCAGGGGGAGAAAAGAATTTCAAATGAGTCCATGGCACAGTTGAAACGTGGA